GGACTCACTAACTTGCTTAGGGCCTCGCTTAGTTCCTGAGGCTGGCTTTGAACTTGTGATCCTCCTGCCTCAGCCTCCTGAGCGGGGATTACAGGTGTTCAACTTTGGAGCAACTTAAGTACCGGAACAGAAGTGTATTTACAGTGTATATTTTATAGACTTAAACAATTTTATAGACTTTAACAATTGCATATTTTAATTATGAAAAACACAGAAAAGCAAAAAGATCATAACAACTCAGAGAAAAATATCAACAATCTGTTATCTTTTCAATCTTATTTTTATGTACATATGACACGTATTTCTTTCCTTACCAAATAGTAATTGTTCTCTGGAAATAGTTCTGTGGCCTACATTTTAACCTAATATTTTCCATATTACCCAATATCCTTTATGCAAAAAATGTCTTTAATCACTTATTTGATGAACTTCTGGGGTTTGGACATTTATATTGCTTCCAATTTTCCTATGTAGTAAATAATGCTATGATGAGCATATTTGTAAGCACGTATGATTGTTTTTCTTATAACACATTCTTACAGTGGAATTCTTAAATCATAGAACATGTAAACTCCTGAAGTTTCTGCTCTCATTGCTTAGGTATCTTGAATATGCCCTGCTTCAGTTTACAGCACTCTGTCCAGCAAAGTCTCAAGTAGCTATTGTCTCCCATTCAAGGGACAGAGATTTGTCTGACAAAAGATCTGGCCACATTAAGAAGTAAAAAGTAGCAGAGAGGTATAAAAGTGTTTAGTTCTTTACACATTTATTGGCCATTTATGTCCTATCTTTGATGAATGGTTTATTGCTTTGACGATAATTTCCATTCTTTTGACTTACTTTTTTTTTTTTTTTTTGTACTGGGGATTGAACTCAGAGACAGTCAACCATTGAGCCACATCCCCAGCCCTAGTTTGTATTTTATTTAGAGACGGGGTCTTATTGAGTTGCTAAGCACCTCACCATTGGTGAGGCTGGCTTTGAACTTGAGATCCTCCTGTCTCAGCCTCCCGAGCTGCTGGGACTACAGGTGTGTGCCACCGTCGTTGGTTCTTACTGACTTTTATGTACTGTTTATAAATATTAAACCTATAATCTATTTGATGTAAATGTATTTTAAATACTTTTCCCACATTGCTTTTGTCTTTTTATATGGTTCCCGTTTTTTCTCTGCATACACATTTGAAATGTTGCTGTGATCAGCCCCACAAGCTTGAGTTTTCCCTTTTTTTGTCTTTGATACAGCTCTTAGGAAGGCCTTTCTTCCCTCCAAGAGTATATAAATAGTTAGTTGTCTTTATTTTACTTGTGTCTTTTTTTTCATTTTAAGAATATTTTATGGTGAAATATACATAACATGAAATTTACCATTTTAGCCCCTTTAAGTGCACAATTCTGTGGTATTAGGTACATTTACAATGTTGTGCAACTATCACCACTATCCAGTTCTAGAACTTTTTTATAATTTCAAACAGAAACTCCATACCCATTAGAATGGATAAAGAAAATGTGTTATAAGCACATAATGGATACTACCCTGGCTTAAAAAAAATAAGGAAATCCTGCCTATTCGCAACAACATGAATGGGCCTGGAGACAGTATTTCAAGTGAAACAAGCCAGATGTGGAAGGGCAAATATTACATGATACCACTTATATGAGAAAACTCAAATAGTTCAAGTTGTAGAAGCCAAGTACAGAATGGTGGCTGCCAGGGGGTGGGGCAGGAGAAAATGAGGAGTATTGGTCAAAGGGAACAACGTCTCAGTCATGTAGATTAAGCCCTAGAGATCTACTATACAGCATAGTGCTGACAGTTAATAACACTGTATGGTACACTTAAAATTTTTGCTATTGGGGTCGACCCCATGTTGTTATCACAAGTAGAAAGAGGGCGACAGGAAACTTGTGGAGGTGATGGATATTTTTATGGCAATGATTGTGGTGACGGTGTCATAGTTTATACTTATTGCCAAACTCATTAAGATGTATACTTTAAATATGTACAGATTTTTGTTTATCAATCATAACTTCATAAAATGTTGTGTGTGTGTGTGTTTTTTTTTTAAGAAATTCTAGCCAGGTGTGGTGGTGCATGCCTGTAATCCCAAAGATTCAGGAGGCTGAGGCAGAAGGACTGCAAATTTGAAGCCATCCTCAGAAATTTAGCAAGGCCCTAAGCAACTTAGCAAGATCTTGGCTGGAGGTGTAGTTCAGTGGTAGAGGGCCCCGGTAGAGGATTCAAACCCCAGTACCAAAAAAAAAAAAAAAAAGAAAAGAAAAGAAATTAATTCTGTTCCCATTTTACAATAAATCCCATTTCTCCTCCCTCCTGCCCCTAGTAACTACTTTCTGTCTCTATGACTGTGCCAATTCTAGGTACTCATATAAGTGGGATCATACAATATTTGTCCTTTGGCTTATTTCACTTAGCATAATGCCCTCCAATTTCATCCATTTTGTAACTGAATAATATTCCATTGTGTAGTAGGGGACAGACAATACAGGGCACCAAAGACAGCAGGAAACAGTTTCATTTGGCTACAGCAAGGTTCAGAGGGCACAGCTTTCACTGTAATCAATTAATCCCCCTGAACCCTGAATTCAGGCAGGTTCAGAACTTTACACCCAGCATGTAAGGGGAGGGGCTCAGAAGTTCACAGTCTGCAGAAGTTCACACAAAAACAGCTTTTTCTTTCACTGTTCTGGGCAAGTTAACCCTTCAAGGACAGCACCTGAGAAAGGGAGAGCTTCTTCTCCCCTTTCTTCCCTCCCCTGCCAGATGTTACTATGGAGCCCAATTAGTTACCTCCTCTCTTATCTTTGAAAGGTAAACATCTCTGTGAAGCTCCAGCCCAAGGCCAGGAGCCTAGATAAAAGAATCTATTTTTCTTATTACACTCTGCATTTGCCAGCACATGCCTACAAACTATTATGTATGTTGTTATTTATATTAAACAGTCCATCATGTTTGTGAAAAACTAGTAAAGGGGCATTCAACAGCTGGAGTATTGATCTCTTCCAGGCCAAGTAAGATAGAGCAATAGGAAATAAGAATTTTAACTACATTGAACTCTTTTGTAGAGATTCTTGTGCTAATAGTCCTAAGATCAATTATGGTGAAGATTTCTGGAGAAGCTTCATTAAGATTTTCTGTGGAGGAGGGGTGCCACTACAATTGCATTGTGTTGTGATTTCACTTTTTGAATACAGTTCTCTACCAACCCAAACTCTATTTTGATAAATAGTGCTAGGGTCTAAATGTTGGTGTCCAAACTTTCTATGTCTGAACTTAATATCCAATGTGATAGTATCAAGCAGTGGGGCCTTTAGGAGATGATTAGGTCATTAGGGTGGAACCCTTATGAATGAGATTAATGTCCTTATAAAAGAAGTTTGAGGTAGTTTGTTTTTTCTGCCCCTGGAGAAAGTGCCAAGAAGTGCCAGCTTTCAAACAGAAAGCAATTTCTTGCCACTGGATCTTCTAGCACCTTGATCTTTGACTCTCCAGCTTCCAGAACTTTGAACATATATTTCTGTTGTTTAAAAATTTACCCAGTCTAAAGTATTTTGTTTACAGCTGTTCAAATGGACTAAGACAGATGGTAAAAGGTAAATATCTAAAGAAAACTTAGTAGTTGTTTCCCCCACTGATTTGAAATTCTAATGTTCTCCTATGTCCCAATGCCATTCATTTCAACTAGGGCAATACTCTCCCAAGGGGGGCACAAATTGTTTCCTGAGGTACAAAAAAATCTTATGTGTAAAGCACAGATATAGATAGATAGATTTTATGTTCCTTATGTTAGATTAGTCATTCAGTGGTTTTTTTAACTTTTGTCTTTGTTGATTCCTTCTTGCTTTTATTTGGTTGAATGGTTGTTTTTATATTCATCTAAAATAATACAAGCATTAAATTCCCTCTGCTAATACTCGCCACATCCCACAGTAGCTTTTTACTGAGTGATTGCTACATGGCAGGTACTATAGTAAGTGCTTTACAAGTCTTATGTAACCAACCCTCCCTTCAAGCCTATGAGGTAGGTATTACCATCATTTCACAGATGAGAAAACTGGTACTCAGGGAAGCAAAATATCTTTTTTTTTTTTTTGAGAATTTTAGTATTTATTTATTTATTTAGTTAGTTTTTGGCAGACACAACATCTTTGTGTGTGGTGCTGAGGATCGAACCCGAGCCGCACGCACACCAGGCGAGTGCACTACCACTTGAGCCACATCCCCAGCCCAAAATATCTTATCCAAGGTTTCACATTAAATAATCAATTGTGCTGAAATTCTGATCCTGGAGTCCATATTAATTCCAGTAACTTAAG